GTCCTCATTTAGTGAGACGGCAGATGCTGAAATCACCGCGAGTGTCAGGCACGCTTCAGTGTGTGTAGTAAATTAAACCGCGCGTCTGCGCCATTCATTAACAGAGACAGGCTGAACATGCAGGATTCATATTTAAATCGACTTTTGCGGCTTAATATTTACAGATACTAGTCCATATCATGATTTGATTTAAGTGTAATGACCTACTTTTGATTAATTCATTCAAAATTCGACAAATTCCGTGACATTCCGCGTTAAACTGTGAATTCTGTTTTTATGACTGGATAAAGACTACGCCATAATTTTCCCGCTTATCATGCGGCCACTTGCCTGATGTGAACATAAAATATCTTACATACCACCACTTGTGAACGAGCCAGTCTGCACGAGGATATCGTCACGTTCTCGCGAGTCCAATCAGATCTCGCGAGATCTCGTGCCACGAGATCTCGTCACACCCCTAGTAATAATATAATGTATAATAATACTTTTTTCTTTTTTAAACCGTGATATACAGTTTATAAATAAATATGTAAATAGAATAAATATACAATCAATTTTACAAATAAATATAATATGTAAACGGTAACACGTTTTGCAATACGTTTTGCAAATAAATAAAATATATAAACGGTAATATACAATACACTTTACAAATAATATATATGTAATTAAATATATTTAAAAGGTAAAATACTATAAAAAATTATAATACTATAAAATACTATACATTTTACAAAGATACAATGTAATATATAAACAATAATATACAAAACATTTTGCAAATCTAACATATAAATAGTAATATACAATAAATTTGACTAACTAATATAATATATAAACTGTAACGTACAATAAGTTTTACAAATTAATATAACATAATATATGATTTAATGTTTGAAAGACAGAAATAAATATTAGTTTTGTAGTTTTACTATTGCTCCTTAAAAGTATTATTATTATTATTAATAAATACCTTTTTTATTTTACAGTACAATATTCATATATAATTACATATTATACAGTGTAATAGTAATATATGTCTTTATTAAAGAATAAAGAACGAGAGGTTCATTTTTTTTCTTCTTTTTTTTTTTTGCCTGATTGTATTTGGCATTCACTCATTTTTATCTCTTCTTCTCTACAAGCATCTGGTGTGGATTCTGGGTCTGAAACCGGCTGTCGGTGGAGTTCTGAAACCCGGGCGAGCTGTGGAGGGTCCGAGCACGGTAAAAAACGCTGATCTCAGCCCTGCTCAAAGCCTAGTGAGCTGCCTGCCTAGAAGGCATTTTGAGCATCACAGGCGCTTTTTGAGGCAGCAGCGTTTATGTGCACCATGGGCAAGTTGCAAGACAACAGGGTTTATTTGAGGAATGCAATAAGTGACTGTATAATTTTTGCTCATCAGGGATTCTCTAAGTCAGCAGCATTTTTAGGCATCATAGATGATTTCCAAGTCACCAGCATTTTTGTCTAGTAGGAAACACTTTTTACCTAAAGATATCGCTCACTAATGCTACAAACACTTTTTAGGTGACTTGAAACAAATGTGGTCTAGATATGCAACTTACTAGGACTCCTCATAAATGTTTACATTTATGCATTTAGGAGGCTGTTTTATCCAAAGTGACTTACAAAAGAGGAACAAAGGCAATATATTCGTAATATGCCATACTTGGTTTATTAGACTAGGAAGCAAGGTAGAGAAGAGGAGAGTAAGCGTTTATGACTTTATAATGGTGTTTATTTCTTTTCTGTTGCAGGTTTTGACCACAGCGGTGATGACCGATTTACCCGTCATATCAAATATCCTTTCCAGACTCTTTGAAAGTTCACAGTAAGAATCCGCCAACATCAGAATGGAAATAATTCAGTTGACTTGATTTACTTAGTATCAAATCAGCTTTAAAGAGTGCTGCTGCTGCTGTTTAGTTAAATTATAACAGTCAAGTGTTCTTGTAGAGCAGTTGTAGAATTACATGGTATGTGTGTGTGATTGTAGATACCTGGACGATGTCTCTCTGCATCACCTGATAAACGCTCTGTGCTCGTTATCCATGGAGGCCATGGAGATGGCTTACGGAAACAACAAGGTGCGTTCAGATGCTAAAGCTAATTACAGATTCATTTAATCAAAACATAATCGTTCAGCGCTCATCTGTCTATTTCTCTTATCTCTGTGGTTAGGAGCCATCTTTGTTTGCGGTGGCCAAACTGCTAGAGACCGGACTGGTTAATATGGACCGGATCGAGATTCTCTGGAGGCCGCTGACGGCTCATTTACTGGAGGTGAGTCCAGAGGCCAAATCCACACCAACAACGCACTTTCTGCTTTTGAAACAAATTTATTTGTTTGTTTAGACTGTTAGTCTGGGAGGCTTTAAATGTTAGTATTTTTTATTTATATTTTTTTCTTTATATATGTACTGTTTAGTTTTGAAGTCATCTTTGTTTATTTTGTATTTATATTTTATAATGCATTTATGTTATTAATGTTATGTATTATTATGTATATAATTTCTTTATTTAAATAATTTTTTATTCATTTGATTTTTTTTATTTACTATTAATCTTTCTGTGTACTTCAGCTCTAATCATTAGTAATATTGCTTCAGGGTCTTGAAATACTACTAATATTGCTAAAACAAATATTACTAATACCTGTACAACTAATGAACAATAAATAACTATTGTAATGAGATGAGCCCTATTCTGAGATGTTAATATTTAATACTTGGCAGGCTGCTCTGATCTTTCTGGTCTTTACTTGCTGTCCTTGTCTGCTGTACTCACACTTCTTCTGTAGTTGTATAAATGCTAAAGCACAGTTCATGTCCTCATGCTGTCTGATGCCATCTTTTTTCCTCCTCTGTCTCTTGCGACATGTCTGTTTTGTAGAAGGTAAGTGCTGAACTTTCTTTTTCAATTCAGAAAGACTTCTCTCTAAAGAGTGACTCTTCTTTTTGAATCGATCTGTCATTCACCACCCTTTATGAAATTGTCTATTTTCAAGTTCAGTGTTTTCAGGAATGAAATCAGCCTCCTGTTGTTGTGCTAATCAGATGTTGTTTGTTTTCAAGCTGATCTCGACTGTCACACTTAAGTTTCTTTCACATGACTCCCATCAGGGTTTCAACACAAGCGTCATGTGCTGCTTTGACCTCCGCGTGAAAAGCAGATCACAGAACGGCTATTTTATAAGATAATTACTGTCTGAATGTTATTTTATATCTTCAGCTGTGTGTTGTACAGCTTGGAGTCAAAGTTTAAATAGTTGGGGTAGGGTCAGGTTTAGTTGAATATTTTTAGTTGACTAGTTTAATGTGAATAATGTGAAAGGACCTTTCTGACTGTGATGACCACATTATTTTGAGATTATTTAATCATCTGCTTTACCACAAAACCTTCACTTTTACATTCATAAAACACACCAATCTACACAATTAAAATTCAATAAGCAATGTTACCTCTTGTGATCTAAAAAAATTAAATATAATTTAAGAATATTTTGCAAATCAGTCTATTTATATTTTGTGTAATTTGGCAGTGTGCATGCTTTATTTGTATAATGATTTATTTTTATGAGCAATATATATTGCTTTGCTCTTTTTTGTGTTATTGATGTTATTTTGTCCATCAATGTGTCTTCACCCTCCTTTTGCAATTTTTGATTTGTCTTTGTGTTGTTGCTGATTTCATTAATGGGTGAATCTCATAAAGTCGTTCAAGAATGTGTCATATTTCACCACAAAATCAAAAGAAAATATTGAAAAAGAACATGAAGCCTATTGTGCAATTATCTCGTCAGGTCTGTCAGCATCCTAACGCTCGAATGAGGGAGTGGGGCGCAGAGGCCATCGCCTCGCTGATCAAAGCTGGACTCTCCTTCAAACACGAGCCACCGCTGTCCCAGAACCAGGTAGAAATTAATTTGGATGATCGGAAATCAGTGCTACTTCAGAGTTTGACTTGGATTATTGATTGGACAACATCTTTAACCAATCCCCTGTTCTCCTCAGAGGTTGCAGCTGTTGCTTCTGAACCCTCTGAAGGAGCTCTCCAACGTCCTTCACGCCGATATCCGACAGAAACAGCTGGAGTGTGTCCTACAGATCCTACAGAACCAGGGAGACAGTCTCGGACCGGGATGGCCTCTGGTGCTGGGGGTCATTGGAGCGATCCGCAATGACCAGGGGTGAGACACAGCCTGACCTTGCAGAAAAGACCATCTTAGACAAGCAAGAATTTCCATATTGGTCCAGGCTGGGTTATGCAAATTAGAGTTGGTTTAAAGGATTAGTTCATCCCAAAATGAAAATTCTGTCATTAATTACTCACCCTCATGTCGTTCCAAACCTGTAAGACCTTCGTTCATCTTCGGAACACAAATTAAGATATTTTTGATGAAATCCAAGAGCTCTCTGACCCTCCAGTAGACAGCAACGCAACTGTAATGTTCCCAGGTCCAGAAGCATGCGCATCAACGTAATCAGCGTTGTTTGCACTTCGGGGAAAGCGTGCGTATGCGTTGTGATACTCTCCAAAATGGCGAAAGACGTAACTTGGGGGAGAAGAATTGTTGAATAAAGTCATTATTTTTTGTTTTATTTGCGTACAAAAAGTATTCTCGTTGCTTCGCAAAATTGAAGTTGAGCCACTGATGACAAATGGATTATTTTACCGAAGTCCTTACTACGTTTCTGGACCTGGGAACATTACAGTTGTGTTGCTGTCTATGGGAGGGTCAGAGAGCTGTCAGATTTCATCAAAAATATCTTAATTTGTGTTCCGAAAGATGAACGAAGGTCTTACGGGTTAGGAACGACATTAGGGTGATTAATTAATTTCATTTTGGGGTGAACTATCCCTTTAATGCTTAGTCAACCTGCATGGTTCTTCTTTTGAGGCTGGTTGACCAAGAAAGTCTTCACGATTTAGATTTAGATCTAAAGTGTGGATCTTGGAGTGTCGCATTTGTATCTAATGGCGCTTTTCCACTGCATGGTACGGCACGGTACGGCTCGGTCAGGGTCACTTTTGGGGGGTTTTCCACTGGGTACAGTACCTGGTACGTGCCGAGCCGAGTCGTACCACGCAGTGGAAAAGCGCCGTAATATACCTTTTGTTCCACAGTGAATCCCTCATACGAACAGCCTTCCAGTGCCTGCAGTTGGTGGTGACCGACTTCCTACCCACAATGCCTTGCATGTGCCTACAAATTGTGGTGGATGTAGCCGGCAGCTTTGGGCTCCAGAACCAGGAGCTAAACATCAGCCTGACGTCTATCGGCTTGCTGGTGAGGAGAACTGCTAGTGTTGCTTTTAAAGACTCTTTAGCCTTACCTTGAAGGTGTTGAGTGTTCCTTTGGGATAGTTGAGTTGACTGAGTGGATGACCAAGAGTCTTCTTCTTCCCCTGCAGTGGAACATCTCAGACTACTTCTTCCAAAGGGGAGAAGCAATTACAGAGGAGCTGGAGAGGGAGGAAGCAGTTCTCTTGAAACAGGCCCAAGATAAAGGTGAACCTCTGAACCGACCCTTCCACCCTGCGCCACCCTTTGACTGCCTGTGGTTGTGCCTGTATGCCAAGCTGGGTGAGTTGTGTGTGGACCCACGGCCGGCTGTGAGGAAAAGCGCTGGCCAGACAATGTTCTCCACCATTGCTGCTCACGGAACGCTGCTGCAACCACCGACCTGGAACATCGTGGTTTGGAAGGTACTGGATCAGACTTGACTAGGGCCATGATAGCTTTAATCGATTGCATCTCTTATCGACAATTAATCGATCATCGATTAATCGTTGACATCCCTAATTGAGACATGTGGTTCTCAAAGACGTATCTCAGAATTTGGTTCTAAAAGTCATGTTCTTGCTTGCAGGTGACTTTTTCAAGGCTTGGGAAGTTCTGTTGGACCACATCCAGTCTGCTGCACTCAGCAAGAACAATGAAGTTTCCCTCGCCGCCCTCAAGAGCTTCCAGGAGATCCTCCAGCTAGTCACGCCCATTAAAGACACGGATAAACCCGACGCTCTCACAATGGACGTTCCTCCTGTCCTTATGGAGTCTTTACAAGGTTCTGGGCCAGGAAGACCCCTAGTCCGATCCGATTCCCTTGCCGAGCGACTAGCCCAGCGCTACGGTGCCCAACCTTCACTTCCACCACCTGGAGAGGAGCTGGACGACTCGGCCCTCTGGTGGTCAGCGTGGAACACTTGGTACCGGATAGGAACAGAGTGCACGCGACCCCCTAGTGGTGGAACAGATAAACTAGTGTTCGTACCCAGTCAGCCTTTCCTGACGGCGCTAATACAGATTTTCCCAGCTTTGTACCAGCACATCGCAGGAGGGTTCAGCATGGAAGATCTCAAGAAGCTGGGGGTGATTCTGCATGGAGCCGTGTCGGTACCCATAAGCTCAGACTCCTCGCCTTTCATCTTGCCCTCCTACACGGAAGCGGTGCTCACCAGCCTGCAGGAAGTGGTCCTGACTGCCCTTGACGTCCTGCAGAAGGTAGAAAACCTTCAGAATTTGGTTAAAGGGTTAGTTCACCCAAAAATGAAAATTAGTCCATGTTTTACTCTAACCGTCGTATGCGCGTTCACGAGAGACTGCCTTTCCGGTGGATGATGTAGGACGTAGGTGTAGCACATGCGCGTGTGAGTCTCGCGAAAACCAACGTTTGTTTACAGGAGCAAAGGAAGCAAAGTTTCCTTACTTTAC